CATGATTTCTCAAACTGGCTCCGCTACGAAGCCTGGTGCCATGACTTTGATGTAGAGATTGCCTCACGAGGAGAAAGTTGGATGAAGCTAAGCTTATTGCAGATGCCTTTCTGAACTTGCCTACCCCATTTACTGACACCATGGTGGCCCTCCATGAGAAGTTTGGTCAGCCCCACCAACTAGCATTGAGAAAAATTGCCAGTGTTCTGGAAGCCCCTGATGTAAGGCGTGGGGATACTGTTGCATTCCAGAAGTTTGCTCTTCAGGTACAGTCATTGGTGGGTTTGTTGAAGACTTTAGGACCTGAAGGTGACATTGAACTGAATTGTGGGTCACATGTTGCACGCCTTTTGAGCAAACTTCCTTCGGAACAGCGAGCTGAGTTCCGCCGTCACATGTTCCGTCAATCCGGAACTGTACCTACACTGCATGATTTCTCAAACTGGCTCCGCTACGAAGCCTGGTGCCATGACTTTGATGTAGAGATTGCCTCACGAGGAGTTCAAGACCGACAGACTTCTAGATCTGTTCAAAGTAAAAATACTGTAACCATTCTTCATGGGGTTGGAGAGGCTCACAATCTAACTTCCCTGTCCCCTCAGAAGGGTACTACACAACAGGCCAAGCCAGTTGAGGTGAAATGGTTCTGTCCCTTCTGTGATAGTACAGAGCATTATTTGAGTCAATGCAAAAGCATTTGCTAAACTTACCACTGATCAGGTCAAAGACTGGATTCGAGATAATAATCGCTGTTGACGCTGTGCCAGGACTCATCATGCTGCTCCGTGTGACCTGAAAAGGCCCTGCAACCTGTGTCAAGGTAAACATCTTAAATGTCAGATCTTACCAAGAGGAAACCGTCAGTGCCGAGAAAAGTTGCCTTACCAGTTCCTCTCCAGACAGATTTTACCTGAATAAACCTGTTGTTGGGAACCGTGTCATGCTCAAGGTAGTACCTGTGCATGTTCATTATGAAGACCATACAAAAACATTTGCACTTCTGGATGACGGCTCTGAGAGAACCATCTTGCTCCCAACTGCTGCCAAAGCCCTGGGCATACGAGGTACACCTGAAGATCTCCCTTTGCACACTGTGCGACAAGACATTGAAGTTCTTCATGGGTCCTCTATCTCCTTTCAAGTATCCTCAATCCACAAGCCTCAAATCCTTTACAAGATTGAACATGCCTTCACTGCAGATCGCCTCAATCTGTCACAACAGTCTTATCCTGTGGATCAACTGCAGAAGAAACATAGACACTTACATATTCTTCCCATCCTGCCTGTGAAAGATGCTCCGCCTCTTCTTCTGACTGGGTCAGATCAACCACATCTCATTACACCAATCGAGCCTATCAGATTAGGTTCTCCAGGTGGACCTGCTGCTGTCCTCACACGCCTGGGATGGACCCTCCAGGGCCCTGCATCATTCATGAGGCAGCCTGCATCCTCCCAACAATGTCTGCTGACATTGGTCCTTCCACCTCAAGATGAGCTTTTCAAGAATGTCCAAAGACTCTGGCAGATAGAAGCTGTTCCACACAGGGATGAGAAAGATCTAAACAAGATCAGGAGTCTTTGAAGTTACTCGAAACCAAGACTATCCACACAGAAGTGAACGGCATTCTTTGACTGGCAACGCCCTTACTAAGGCAGAAGGATATGCCTCAGTTACATGCCCCTAAGGAGTCAGTCATGCCCAATCTGCGCAGTATTGAGAAATGTTTGTTGAAGGATCCAGTGAAAGCAGAGACCTATAGAGCAGAGATGGAGAAGCTCATGCAGACAGGAGCTGTCCAGGAAGTAACTCAGGAGACAACAGACTCTGACGAATGTTGGTATATACCACACCACATCGTCAGTCCTAATGGGAAATCTTGTGTTGTTTTCAACTGTTCCCACCAATATCATGGGCAAAGTCTCAACCAATATCTGTTGCCTGGCACTACACTTGGCATCATTGCTAGGTGTACTCATCAAATTTAGGGAGCATCCAGTTGCAGTAAGTGATGACATCAAGGCGATGTTCCATCAGGTCCGCCTCCTTCCTGAAGATCGTCCCTTACTGCGGTTCCTCTGGCGTGATCTGAAGGTGGATGAACCCCCTAAAGTTTTTGAATGGCAGGTGTTACCATTTGGTACTACATGTAGTCCATGCTGTGCCACTTATGCTCTGGAGCGCCATGTGACCGAGCACAGCATGACTAGTGAGTCCATCAGGTTCTCAGTGGACAACTGTTTTTATGTGGACAACTGCCTTCAGAGTCTGAGCACCCCTGAGGCAGCCAGGTACTTGGTCGATGGATTGAGAGAGATGCTTTCCAAAGCTGGATTTGAGATACGACAATGAGCCAGCAATGTTCCCAACGTTCTGAGTCACTTACCAACAGAAGCTCAAGTTGAGAGTTTGGAACTTTGGTTAGCTCAAGACTAGTCGGATGTACCAGAGTCAACCTTAGGCCTAAGCTGGAACTGTCAGACTGATACCCTAGCATACAAGCACCGACCTGTTGTATATGAGACTCCCACCCTCAGGAACATCTACAAGGTCCTAGCCACTCAATATGACCCTCTCGGACGTCTTTTGCCCTACACCACTTGAGCCAAGGTCATAATTAGGCAGCTATGGAATAAGCAGCGGGGTTGGGATGATCCAAACTTACCACCTGAACTCTTGCAGTCCTGGCGCGTCTGGGAGAATGAACTTCAGTACCTGCCAAGCATCACCCTCCCTAGGACTTATGTACCTCTTGAGGTGGAGAAGGATGGTGCCATACATGAAGTCCACATATTTTCAGATGCTTCCGAACAGGCATATGGAACTGTGGCATATATGAGGACCACTGACAAAAGAGGCCAAGTGTACCTGTCTTTTATGTTAGCTCGATCCTGAGTGGCCCCCAAACGTTCTCATTCCATTCCTCGATTGGAACTTTGTGGAGCTCTTGTGGCCGCTCGGTTAGCTAGATTGCTTCAGAGGGAACTGACCTTGCATATTGAAACAACGGTGTTATGGACAGACTCTTCCACTGTCCTTACCTGGCTGAACTCTGAATCCTGTCACTACAAAGTTTTTGTTGGCAATAGAGTCGCCGAAATCCAGGAGCTAACAGAGAAGTGTTCCTCCCAGCCAACATTTGTGTTTGGGGCCCATGTGGGTTTGACATGGGCTGAAAAAGTGGGCCCAAGATGGGATTGTCCGCGGGTTCCATAATGGCCCAATGTCAATTGCCCACATGGATTTCATGTGGGATTGTACTTGCCAACAGGTGGGCCCCAACTGGGCAACATGCGCAAGACCCATCTTGGCCCCAGCTTTATTTTTTATGTGGGTACTACAAGGTTACTACATGGGCTGAAATATGGGTTGTAAGTGGGTTTGTCCACGGGTTCCATGTTGGCCCTGTGCAACTTACCCATGTGGGTTTTATGCAGGATTTCACTGGGTTTTAGGTGGGGCCCAACTAGGGATCATATGCAAAACCTATCTGGGTGTTAGGGTGGGCCCAACAAGACAATATGCCCACCTGAAAAAAAATTTGTTTTCAACACCACACAATTTTTTAAAGCATTAGAGCACACAGTGAGATTGAAATCTCTTCAAATTTAAATTTTATTGAAACTACCCATCTTATTATGCTATATTCTGATACCTAATTGTTCAAATTAATATTACTGTTAAAGTTAACACACACTTTGAACCTGTTTTTGAACCAATGTTTACTGAAAACTTTGAACATTTGCACAAGAAAAAAAACGGGGACAGTTAGAAGCAGCAGCAACTATACATTTTGCAGTACTGCTTATACTGCAGACATACATTTGTGCATTCTAGACACCCTAATAGAGAATTACCGTTTATTTATTCAGACAATTGTAATGATAAAATCAGCTTATAATGTATGCATATGCATTTTAGATATTTTTCTGTTAGGTAGTTCCTCACGTTCAGACTCTCTAACATGGACGTAATAGACAGACAAAATAATGCATAAAGTTTTTTTTTTTTTTTTTTTGTGAGGCACCATTGACTTCCACGGTATGAAAAAAATAACATGAAGTCAATGGTACCCCACAACTGTTTGGTTACAAAAATTCCTCAAAATATCTTCTTTTGTGTTAAGCAACCTGAGGGTGAGTAAATGACGGATTTTTTTGTTTTTGTCAACCATTTCTTTAAAAGTCCGTTTTAATAACTTAAGTTAGAGCTGCATGATTCTCATAAGTGTTGTTGAAAAACTGTGACAGTTTCATGCCTACACATGACATCTGCCCTCTCTGTCTGGATAGGTACATTGACATGAAGCATTGTGCTCTGAAAAAGCTCCATGTAAACAAATCAATTGAAATAAAAATGCTCAAACCGATTACAATTTCAATTGCTTTAGAAAGGTGGGATAAGGTGGGACCTTTTCTAATCCATTAAATAGAACATGTAAACACTTGATCAAATTGAAAACTGAACTAGAAAAGTTTTGCGCATGTGTATTGAAGTAGAAATTATGTTTGATGCACAAAATGAGCTGATGTTGTAATAGTATATTAAAGAATTTAATAAATGACTGCCGTGTCAATCTAAAATTCTCTTTCTACTTATTTACTGAAGTGGTGCAGGACAACGTTGTCCCACAAGTGATTGTTTCAGACTCTGATCTGCAAGACCATTTTTAACCATTCTTTTAAACAATCGTAAACTTATTTAAATTGTACTGCCATTTGACATTATAAGCCATTTAGACAACATAAACAAATTATCAGCTTTAAAACTGTAAGTGATGATTCAAAGTTTAAACCTAATGCATGACAAGATTCATCAGAAAAATGCGAATCCCCCCAAAAAAGACAGAGGATTCACAAAAATGGACCCTTTCCATAGATATCATAGCAAGGTAAACACAACTGTAGCTTTAAAAAAAGAAAGCCAATTTGTACACCACAGTCAAACCAACCTTCATATAATTTTCCCTGCAGCAGCATTTATCCTGGTATGACACATCTGGAGGTTGTGATGTTCTCCAGTGAATGAAATAAAGGACTGATAATGGTGACAAGTTCTATTCCCCTTTTTTTGTGCCACCTCAGAGTAGGGCTGTGGCGGTGAGGGAATTTCCCTTGCGTTAACTTTGAGTGGCTCAATAGCGCAGTATGCGGTATTATCGCCACACACAGACACACACATATATATATACATATATACAGTGGGTACGGAATGTATTCAGACCCCCTTAAATTTTTCACTCTTTGTTATATTGCAGCCATTTGCTAAAATCATTTAAGTTAATTTTTTCCCTCATTAATGTACACACAGCACCCCATATTGACAGGAAAACACAGAAATGTTTACATTTTTGCAGATTTATTAAAAAAGAAAAACTGAAATATCACATGGTCCTAAGTATTCAGACCCGTTAGCCTATATGTATAACAGTTAGTTCTGATCTTCTAATCTGACTGGACAAGAGACTTTCTATCGATATTTCTATTTGATATCGACAGTTCTAGACGGGCTGTCAGTCAGTGCAGTTACAGTGTTGCACCACAAGGTGGTGGTAATGAGTCTTTAAACCGTTCTTTCAACTACACGTTCAAAAACGCTGATTCATTCATTCAAAGAGACGTAATGAAACACGCTGTTGAAATCATTTTAACTTTGAGCGCCACTTTAGAAGGCTCAGCTGACCAGCTATGCGTCGATGCTAAGACAGAGATTTCGCTCTCCTTGAATATGACAACATATTTTCACAAATATATATGACTCAGCCTGGAGGACAGACGCAAGTAATCACACGCGCTCAGTCGATCTCTCTCTCATTCACTGTCCGTTTAGGCTTGTTAAGTGCAAATCTACGAAGCCTCTGTACAAATTAGCATGGTACACATTATGTTATCATTACTAACTTGTTTAATATTCAGTCCACATGCATGAAGTGTAAAACGAGAAGGGCATAACCTTACGAAAAAAGAATACACGCAAAAATCGCTGTTGCTGCTGTTCTTGCATTCCTCTGCGGTTTGCTCTTCAATCGGTCTTTGTCAGTCACGTGTGTTTGTTATGTGTGACGTCACCAAGGCGCCATTTTGAAGGTATCCTTATCGTTACTGATGGTGAGCACTGAGCTGAGAGGAGATAAGAAAAAGAGATTGTTACAAACGTAAAACTGGAGAAGCACAAGAAATCCGAGAAAATTTTGTACCGCGATAAACTGAACAAAGATGCCAGGGACCGTTATATCGAAAAACTGGCATCCATTAAGAACATAGATCCATATGAGCTGACCGCAATAAGTTGGAGCGCCGACCCCTCGTTGCTGCCTCCTACCTCATACGTTGACATCGTCAACTATCTGGTTTATGGTATAAGTGCATATACATGTGAACAATTCAAAAACTATAAATCTCTTGAAGCCCACGGACACTTCACCAATGGATGGGTACAAGATTTATTTACATTTCGGCCGAAGGACTGCAACAACACTGTAGTGACGTCAAAGGTAAGGTGGTGTAGTGTTGATAATATCATATGATATACAGATATAATCAGTGCTTAAATATGGATTGTTTTGTTTTTCTAAAACACATTAAAACTAGAGTAGGAATATTGAATTATATAAATTACTAACATCCCTTTTCAAGTATTTTATTTTCTTAATTACATCATCAGTTATTCAAAGCAAGTTTGTTCTAAAGCATGCAATGTGGTAAAGGTGACCTGAAAAGGGTTTTTTGTTCTAACTTCAATGTCAGTATATACTTAAGTATGAATTGTACTAACATTTACTTGTATTTCGATAAATGTTCTGTTACCACTAATTTGCACCATTGTAAGTTGTCAACATATTTCTACGGCTCCAGCATTAAACTTTACCCTGTGTTTGGATTCCTTACTTCATTTGGCTGTGGAAGTAAACAAGAGAAACAAGAAAGTAATAAACAAAATTTATTAAAAAGTCACTGTGCCCACATTCATTCAGAAGGCAGTTATTAAAATTGTTCGGAATAATACAAGTAGAACAGGGATGGAAATGCATTTTTTTTCCCCTCAAGAGCAATACATCAATTTCAATTCAAGAATGGTCAAGCAGAATAATGCATCAGCATAAAATGTATACTCAAAACTAGATACAGTGGAAGGTGATGAAACAATGTTGCTTAAATCGTAAAATATTTGTAATTGTGTACATCAGATACATCAGCACTGAAATTTCTACACCAGTCATGTGGTCCCACCACAGTATGTACCCATATTTTGTATGTCTCTCTTATCTGAGCCTTAAATATGATTCATATAATAAGATCAATGAGATGAGCTCCATGAACTAACTTGAGTGTGTCAGATAAGAGAGTAATACAAAATGTGCAGTGGTGGTACCCCACGACACAGAAATATTTTCAAAATATATACTAGATGTGTGTGTATTTATAGATCAATAATACATACACACAGTACACACACATAACATATTATGTAAACAAAAACTTTTATTTTGGATGCGATTAATTAATTACAAGTGAAGTTAAACCAATTAAGTATTTTACAACCTTGTACATGACGACTGCATGACATTTTACAACAACACAATGACAGAAAGCCATGACATTTGTCAACGTTACTTAAATATTTTACTTACCTTTATGAAAATGTCGAGAGCAAACATACATAAACGGAGATACGTTGCCAAAAGAGATGTTTTTGAGTCTCACCGCTGCAACCCAGGCCACCCGACGCCTCTTTGTTATTTCCGCTACATGCTGTCCATAACCTTTCTTCCAAGCGGGAAACTTAAAAAACCTTTCCTGGTGGTGAAGCTTTTGACCGTTTCTATCGTGTGACTTAGTATTACAACCTTTCACACAACAAGACCGTACCATTGTCTTTGAAATAAAGCGAATGAAAAATACAATTATCCAACGATATATTACCCCGACTCTGATACCTTACAAATGGCGGCTGCACCCATAATGCACTTCGGTTCTCGCGAGCGTGACGTCACCTGACTAAGACCGATAGCGCGGTATTGCGATATTGCAGTTATCGGGACAGCCCTACCTCAGAGGAAGAAAGACAACAGGAAAAAAAGTTACTCATTTTCTATCACCAGTGGAGGAAATATCTTACAAATGTAACGTTACTTATGATTAGAATCACACTTAAGATATTAATCCCAATGTGAGGTCTAGAAACGGTTAAAAACTGAATAACATCTTACTGTAGTCTCTGTGTTGGGTGCCTGTTTTCCCTGAAAAACATGTGCTTGATCTAAAAATGTAAACCAATATCTTATCATTAGCAGTTATCAGTATTTGAAGAGGTGAAATAAAAATTACTTAAAAACTGTAATCGACACAAGCATAACAAATATAAAACATTTCTCAATTTCCGAGTGTAAATTGCAGTTTTCTCATTCACTGTACTTATTCCGATGTTCCTTTACTTCTCACGAGTTTGAGTTTTAAACTAACGTTAGCTGACATTAATACAGACAGCTCATTCGGACGCTGCATTGGAAATACATAACTACTAGCTAACGCTAATCGTGATTAACCTCTCATTTTGATTTCCTCTCACTCACATAAATTATGGACACAAAACATAACTTTACGTTGGTTTGACTGAAAAAAAGTTTTGTTACCTGAAATCGCCATATGTTTGCAGGACCTCACACGCAGTCTGCCCCTTCCTCTGTGTTCACACTCCAGCTTCTGTTCTCCATTGACATGTCACAGCTCATATTAGTTTAAAATAAGAATTTAACAAGCACATAATCAGGAACTGAGTGACCGAGTAATCTCGCGGATCAGTAGCAAACACATCACCAAACGGACGTATTTTCAAACCTGACTAGTAAGAAGGCCCGCACTTTTGTCATTGGCCAGTTTCGTGGATGACAGTCAGATTAGCCAATCATGATGAAAGCAACCAATTGCAATTGTTTCAGAGTGGTAACTGGTAACGAAAGTAAAGAGTTTTTTTTTTTAAAGAAACGTGTGTATTTTTAGGCTGTATTATTTGTTTAGTTCAGTGTATGAATAAAAATGTAATAATGAATTGCAAACTGTAGGCACGTACACAAGATTGTAAATCCATACAAAATCTCACTGCTCTTTTGAGATTAAAACTGCATCCATTATAATTATTGTTACTAATGACAATAATTATATTTGTACATATACATTTGGATTTTTGAAGAGGTTTTGATAAAAAATATCATAAAATGCTAAGAAATAAAATATTAATGATCATAATAATTCAAAAGGCAGATATTTCTTGTTAATGACATGACATTGATTCAACATATATATTTTTATTGTCTTTTTTTAATGATTTGTTTTTGTTAAAAACATTTTTCAATGATTTAGCATTAAACTTTATATCACTTTATATTGTGTAAACATTAAAACAGCAACTGACATTATTTCAATCATATTTCAACTTTGAAAGTTGGTCATGTGCCAACTAGACTGAAAAGAAAAGTCTTTACTGTTGGTTCAAAAAGAAAACTGAGCACAAAACACAATATGCTAACTGAATGGAACTTTATTCTGAACATCTGTGTCATATGCTGCAAACACGATTTCTGGATTTTTCCATCAGAAACATGAATTTCAATTCTATCTTTCTTCACTTGGGCTATTTCATTATCTGTTACTAACCAACTGACCATTACACTCTGGAGTACTTCTGTGGAATCAGGCAGCTGTTGCTAGGGGTTTGAGTTCTTCTACCCATCTCAAAGCCACTATAATCCCATTATTTTGATAGATAATTGGCTTTCTGTAACCAGTTCTTCATATTGCACAGTTACCATTTTCTGGATATTTTGAACCATTTGTATAGATTTTTAAATAACTATTTGGAGATAAGCATGTGCTTTGCAGACCATTGCTGATGGCACTCTGGATTTGATTTTTTAATTTGATTTGTATATTCCAGGGCTTTTCAACTGACTCATGAACTCTTCAACAGTCCTAAATGTACTGTTGAGTTTAGTTCTATCTCTAACCAAACACACCAACCAAGCTAATCACAGTGTTCACAATTATTTGTGAATAAAAGACAGGTGTGTTTAATTAGTGTTGAAATTAATGTCTGCTATAGGCCTACACCAACTCTCCAGGACTGGAGTTGAGAACCAGTGGCCTATTCACCTTATGCAGCCCATCCTTTTTTAGTGCTGTGTTTGCTGTCTTCTGTGATTTGACAGATTTATAAATGAACCGCTTGTTTTAAAATCTTCCTGGTCTACTGACATTTGTTAAGACATTTGCTTTAAACATTACATTGTTCACGATAACTTTCATTAACTCTACAATACATAAAACCCCTTTACCAGCTAAATTACTTAGACAGCGATGCCATAGAAATTTACAGAGCTACCGCACAAACGGAAGTTCAAACACAATGTTCTGAAGATGGTGACGTGCTTGTTTCTCTGGAAAATAAAGTCAATACTGTACTCACATAGATCCCAAACACACTGCCCAATCTGTTCCTATAGTACCTATTTGTGCACTATAGGGTCCAAGTCAGCCTATATAGGACTGATTATGTTTGCTGATTTATTACCCAGAATGCTTATGTCTTACCCAAGAGGGCCCCATATTAGTGATGGGAAGTTCGGATCATTTTACTGACTCTCTCCTCGTTCATCAAAATTAACAAATCTTTATTCAAGTCTTCAAGTTTATTTCAATCATTTAAGTGGCATTAAATATTATACTTTTACCAGCCAAATTCCCCGAACACATCCACCTACGCAATCTTGATAATATTCCAAATTAGAAAATCATAATAATGCAGCCAAAGATAATTTATAGGGAACATAAATAATTACTTTACCTTTCATTCATTTGTCATGTGACAGACACAATGAACAGATCAATCATGAATGACTCATCACTACCCCATATGTATTTCCATATTCACAACCCATACAGAGATTACCCATGTGGGTACTACCTTGAGCCAATGTAGGCAGTTTACACATATGGTTTGGCGAAGTGGGCCACGTACGTGTTTCCCCATTCAGAACCCATATAGAGGTTCTGCGGAGCCACAGCAGTACCACCCCAATCCATTATCTTTGATTCTCGGAATCATGAGACCTGGCAAGAACTCTTGGATACCACTGCCAAGGAAATTGCGGTAAACTCTACCTCTGATTCCTTTCCAAATGCAGATGATTATCATCAAGCTGAAATCCTTATTCTCAAGCAAGTAAAGCAGGAGTCTTTCCCCAGTGACTATCAACATTAGCTCCTGAGCTGGACAGATGTAGTGGTTTAATCCGGGTGGGAGGTCGATTGAGGAAAGCTGAGTCTATAGAAGAATGTACACCCCATTGTATTGGACGCTCATCATCCAATCACCCGGCTACTGATTAAGCATTATGATTGCAAGCTGCATCACCCAGGACCTGAGCGGGTCTTTGCCGAAATGCGGTGCTATTATTGGATCATCCGTGGCCTTGAAGCCATTCGTCGGCACCAGCATGGGTGTCCAGAGTGTCAGCGTTGGAGGGCACAGCCAACTATTCCTAAGATGGCAGACTTGCCTTCTGCCCGTCTCCATCTCCACAAACTTGCCTTTTACTCATGTGGTGTAGACTGCTTTGGGCCAATTCTGATTAAAATTGGGAGATGCACAGAAAAAAGCTGGGGGATAATCTTCAAGTGTCTAACTACCAGAGCGGTGCACTTGGACCTCCTCAGTACCATGAATACTGATTCCTTCCTAATGGCCCTTAGGCGGTTTGTTGCACAAAGGGGAACACCAGTGGAACTGTGGTCAGACAGAGGAACCAACTTCAAAGGGGGTGAAAGAGAGTTGAGAGAGGCCTTCACTGAAATGGCTCCTGACTTACAGAAACAGCTTTCTCGTCAAAGGATCCAATTTCACTTTAATCCTCCAGCAGCCCCACATTTTGGAGGAGTGTGGGAGAGAGAGGTACGATCTGTAAAGTCAGCCCTTTATACTACCGTGGGAGCTCAGTCAGTTCCAGAAGAAGTCCTGCTGACAGTCCTCCTAGAGGTGGAAGCTATTCTTAACTCGAAGCCTTTAGGGTACGTGTCTTCGGATGTTGCAGACATTGACCCAGTGACACCAAACAGTTTGCTCATGGGGCGGCCGGATGGTTCCTTGCCACAGGTAATCTACTTGGAGTCTGAATTGTTGAGTCGCAAACGCTGGAGGCATTCGCAAGTCCTGGCAGATAACTTTTGGTCCAGGTTTATCCGAAACTACCTTCCAGGTCTCCAGACACGGCAAAAGTGGCAGTCCTCTCCCCCAGACTTAACAGAGAAAATGGTTGTTATGATTGTAGATCCACAGATGCCTAGGGCCCTCTGGCCTGTTGGACATGTCATCAAGACACACCACAGTTCGGATGGGCATGTCAGATCTGCTGACGTAGATATAAAGGGGCAAGTCTACACTCGACCAGTAGCACGGTTGGTGATACTGCCAGCTCTGCCAGATAATGAACACAGCCTTACCGACTCAACTTAAGTCGCCTTTTCGTAGAAGCAAAGTTGCATAGCGCCTTTGGGGGCGGCTGTATAAAAGGCTCCTGGAGAAAGGAAGTTTTATTGAGGGACTCCTATTTGATAGTTTGTTGAGCGCATTTCCAGGTACATCCAGTAGGAGGCATTATTGTACAAGTTTTCTGCCTGTTGCCTCATTGTGTTATTACTGAGAGAACGTCAGCTGCGCACTTAGTTTTCCTGCCTATTATTTGGATGTTTGTTGGCGTTTGGTGTTTCAAAGTGTTAGTTCATGACCATAAA